CGGCGGCGCTCTCGCTGGTGGCGGTGCTCGGCATGCTGCCAGAGGCCGCCGCCAGCCGCCACTGCCTGGTGGCGCCCGACCGCCGCCCCGCGCTCACGCGTGCGATGCGGGGCTCGCCCTGGCCCGCGCCGCTGCTGTGCGCGGCGCTGCGGGCGCGGGGCGCGGCGGCGGTGCGGCTCGCGTGCGGGGCGCTGCAGGCGTGGTGCGTCGAAATAGGGGCGGCGCCCGCGGGGCTAGAGGAGGACCCTGAGGCTCTCGAAATTGCAGCCGCGGCCCTTATGGCCGGGGACACCCACGCCGCGGCGGCCGACTGCCTAGTTGCTCTTTTGGATTCGTGCCGGGAGCGCGGCGGCGGCGGGAAGGATGGCGGCGGGGCGGAGGGCGGCGGGGCCCCGCAGCAGCAGCAGCAGCAGCAGCAGCAGCAGCAGCAGCAGCAGCAGCAGCTTCTTCTTGAGCGGTTGCTCCACGCCCTCGAGACGCAGCTGATGCCCGTGGTCGACGCCGCAGGCCCCGACGGCTCCGTTGCCGCCGCGGCCGCCGCGGCCGGCGCCGTCGGCCTGACCGCCGCCTGCGAGGCCTCCTTTTGCTCAGTCCTCTCCTCCGCCGCCGCCGCGCTGCTCGCGCCCGCGCTCGTTGCCGGCGGCGCCGCGCTCTCGCTGCTGCGGCGGCTGCAGGCGCGGCTGCTGGGGGCGCTGGCGCAGCCCGACGGCGGCGCGGTGCTCGGGGCGCTGCTGTTCTGGCAGGACGCGTACCTGCCCGCGCTGCAAGCCATGCCGCGCGGCGAGGCCGCGCGCGTCGCGGCGGGCCCGCAGCGCGGCGTGCTGGAGGCGCTCGTGGGGGCGCTGGTGGCGCGGACGCGGCTGGCGCCGGGCGCGGCGGCGGCGGCAACTGCGGATGCGAGGGACCTGCCAGAGGACCTTAGAGCGGTGAGTTTTTTGAAATTGAAAATTTGAATTTCGAACATTCCATGACTGGCACCTGCATCTATGAACGAGTGTGGGATTGCAACCTTTGCAGTTTTGACAGTTTTTTGGGCAAGTATCAGACGAGTCAGGATGTGTGTATGGGTGGATTCTGCCCCCCATGAGGGTGCGATTCCATCAGTGCGAGCTGGCCTCGCCGCCTCGACGTGACACTCCGAGATGCACAACCGTTACGACGGCCTCTTGCTCGCGCGCACTTTGGCCTCCTCGCGCCCGCCCCACACCCGCGCGCCCCTGCACCGACCCGCCCCGCCCCCGCAGCTGCGCCGGGAACTGGCGTCTGCTCTGCGTGACGTCACCGCGCTGCTGGGGCTGCCAGCCATGCTGCAGTACATGCTGCAGCTTCTCCGCAGCTGCTTCGAGCGGCTAGGGGCCGGCAATGGCGCCAGCAACGGCGCCATCGGTGGCAGCGCGGGGGAGGCGCCGTGGGTGGCGCTGGAGAGCGTGCTGTATGCGGCGAACGTGGTGCTCGGGCGCCGCGCGCCCGAGGCCGACCCCGCCGGCGTGCTGCAGCTGCTGCAGGTTGGTGAGGGCGCCCCACGGCGCGCGGTTGCCGCGCGGGGCGTCGAACGTCTCGGGAGGGGTTTCGGCCCGCGGGGCCGCTCGAACGCGCCTGACCGACGCACCAATGCTTAAGGGCGGGCGAGGACAGATTGGGGCAGACGGCAGTGGGGAGCCGCGGCCTGCTTATGGGAAGCTTCCCTGCCCGCCCCGCCTCGCGTTTGACGGCGCCCCGCCCTGCGCCACGTCGCCGCTCTCCTCCACAGGTTGCCGCCGCGTCCGTCAAGCACCCTGCAAGCAGTCCCAAGCTCGCAGGCACAGCCCTCACCCTCATCGGCGGCTTGGCGCCTTGGATTGCCGCCCGCCCCGGCGGCGGCGCGCTCGAGGCCGCGCTCGCCGCGGCGCTCGCCGCGGCGCGGGCGGCCGACGAGAAGCTCTCGCGCAACGGCGCGACGGCCGCGCACCGTCTGTGCCAGTGCGAAGAGCTGGCGGCGGCGGTCGCGGGCTGCGAGGCCGGGCTGCAGTGGGTGGCCGGACTGCTGGTGCTGTACCGCGAGCGCGGCGGCCTGCGGCGGCGCGCAGGTGGGTGTTCGTGCTTCTTGGTTCTTGGTTGGCGCGCGCTCCCAGGGGCTCAATGGGGGCTCCTGTGGTTGCGCGCAGCTGCGGGGACAGCCGTCCTCAGCAACATCCAGCCAGCCAGCCTGCACGGGCCCTCACAGATTGCGGTGTAAGCCAGCAATCGGCGCCGCGTCCCCTGGTGCCCCGCGGCCACATGAGTCACACCATCCTCGCCTCGTGCCCTCATCTCAATGCACCACCCGGCCGCGCAGGCGCCGGCGAGGACCTGTCAACGCAAGAGCTCCTGCTCTTGTCGGCATGCTGCGTCGCGCTCGCGCCGCCGCCGCCCGGCCCGCGGCGCGCGGAGGCGCTGCTGCTGCAGCTGCTCGCGCCGCAGGTGGCGGCGGCGTGCAGGGAGCTGGAGGGCGCGATCGCGGCGCGGCCGGCCGCGGCCGGCCTGCCGCCCTCGAGCCAACTCTTCCACTCGGTGGCGGTAGCGCCGCAGCAGCAGCGGCCGGGGCTGCAGATGGCGCCGCAGGGGCAGCAGCTGCCGCCCGCATGCGGGCTGCTCGCGTTCTGCGGCGAGTCCGGCAGCTGCGGGGTCTGCGGCGGTCCGGCGGCGGCCGGCCAGCAAGCGGGCGTGTGGCCGGGCGGCTCCCCCTTGCGGCCGTGGCCGGACACGGCCGCGGCCGCCGCGCGCGCGGGGGCGGGGGCGGGGCCGCTGGCGGCAGCGGCGGCGCCAGGAGAGGCGGTCGCGTGCCTCGAAGCGCTCGCGGCGGCGGTGCAGGGCCTGCGCTCCGGCGGCGCCGCCGCGCGCGACCCTGCCCGCGCGAACCGCCAGGCGGTCGCGGCGGTGCTGTCCAGGAG